TACAACGTCGGACTATGAATCACACATATTGAACTGGCCGCGTAAATACACATTTTGTAATTTATAAACATCAGATAAAAATGGCCGCCGAAATCTCGTTGTAAGAGAGAGTGAACCACGAGACTTGATTTTTTTTTTTCCTTCGTATAGTGCCAATTTTTTCCGCTTATCACGTCCACTGGTTTTCTGATTATGTATCCATTTATTTAAAGCAATGGGCGGGATTACGTTGAAAAATACACTATTTAAGGGAAAAACAAGTCCCGTCTCGACAAGTCTCGTAGCTCGCGTTCAACGAGATTTCAGCAGTCATTTGCGTCTTGGGCCTAATTATTGGATTGTACATTTCATAGGTAGTAAACAATCATGTTAAAAAACATATATACGTTTTAGGAATGTGTTTATAAGTATTGTATACAGTAACCGTTGATTGAATATTTGGCCATTGCATATGACCAACACTGGATTCTGTGTTCGAAAGACTACTTAAAATTTCTTAAGACATTGATACTGTAGATGTATTAATTATTCACTGGGTTTTAATTTCGCTATTTTCGCTGATAAGTAAAATCCGCTAAATTAAATCTAGGTGAACATGTAAAATAACAATAAACTCATTGTTTCATTGACAAATTCGTAAAATTAAAACACAGTGAAAATGCTCAAAACATCAAAACAGTGAAATTAAATGTCAGTGAAAATAAATGGTTTTACAGTATTACATACAACGTCTGAAATAATTATTGAAAATATATTTTTCTAGGAAATTTCCAGGATACAATTCTTTTGCCAATTTTCCAAACAAAATGAAGCAGAAATGTAACCAAGTTTGAAATTGATATTATTGTCTGTAAACATGATGAAGTGAATGACTTTTTTCGAAATATCCCGAATCAATTTCAAATTATGTTTTGTATAACAACACTGAGCGCTAACAGACATCATGATACCATGTATTGTATATTTCATCTTTAAATGTGTAGGAAACCAACCACCGATATTTACTGGTATAGACTTCAGAGACAACACCGGAGTGGTCACCCACCAAAATGGAACTCACAATACGGTATTTACATTTAGAATAATATAAATATATATATATATGCAGTGTACAGTATCGATTGGTTGATTGACTCATCTTTAACCTGTTTAAAAATATATACAAATAGTTATATTTATTCATTTAAATCTTTTTAAACAGTTTTTATTTAGCGAAAGGGCAGAGAAAATTGTTAGAAATCACAACCCTGCTTCACCACTATTTCTATACGTTGCGTATATGGTACCCCACTTCCCTATCCAAGTAAGTATTATCCCAAATTTAATACACCTACATCCCACGTGACAGCAGTTAAATACATGCATTTATACCTAATTTGAACGCAATTGTCCTCAGACGCAAAATGACCGCCGAGATCTCGTTGAGAGCGGGAGAACCACGAGACTTCTTGCTGTCCATCAAATAGGTTCCATTCTTTCTTGTTGTTGAGCCAACTGTTTGCGTAAAGCATGTTATTTAGAAGCAATGGTTAGAGAGGATGGAACACTATTTGTGATGCAAAGGCAAGTCGCGTGGTTATCTCGCCCTCAACGAGATTTCGGCGGCCATTTGCGTTAAGTGTATACTGATCATAGACGGAAGAGAATCAGATTTGTTCACAGTGACAAAAGTTTACGTCATTTAGCAATTCTGAATCTGATTAAATATGATTAATACATTTTCTTTCGTCTTCGAGAAACGTGTAGTCATTGTGGTTACAGCACCAAACTGGTTGCAAATGTTTTCTTGTTTTTTTTATCATAACTCCCATAAAATACATTTATTTAAAAAAAACAATATTGGCAATTTGATTTTATAGGGTCGCTAAATTGACAACTAGTAATCTGTAATTTATATTATTTGTTAATGTATAAATTTTGGACACATTAGGCGCATGCGCGGTGGCAGTTGGTAATGCCAGTGAGACGAGGCTACTGTTTGTGGATTCACTCATTAGTTATATTTGAAAATATGTAAACCAGAATAATTAAACATTCCGAAGAGATAAGTCGTCATTTTTATGAAATTTCTTTCCATGAACTTAATTCTAATAATTCACATTTTTTGGCCATTTCTCATGCAACAGGTTCCGGCTGGATTTGAAGAATCTGTACAAGTCGATGACGCTAACAGGAAAGCTTATGCTGGTAAGTGTTTGCCGTAACACGATTTTCTTTCTAAATTTGTATCACAGCCGGCAGAACAAAGGAGAAGTTACCAAACTGAAGGTGCATTGGCAGTACACCTTTCAAATGAATCGCGCCCTCTAATGTCGAAGTGATTTCATGACGTAAATGAGTTACACGAAGCACGCCCACAACGTCGTCTTCGTTTTTATTTACTCGAGTTGCACATAATTTTTAGAGAGATTTTACTAAATTCTCGAACGACTACACAATTGAACACTCTTGTCGATTTGAACGACATTGCCTTCACTCTTCTACGTCATTTTGACGTCACATAAGTACTATGACACCAGAGGGCGCGATTTATTGAAATGATGTATTGTATGTTTGCGAAGATAGAGTGAACAGATTCATACTTGATCTACACAATGTTGTTGTGGCACCGCGCTATTTTTTTTAATCCTACAATTTTTTTTTTCAGTAGCATATAGAATATAACAATTCTTTTTTTTTCTCCGACGTTATTAAAAATTAGGCATGATGGCAGCTATGGATCAAGGTGTGGGTAACATCACACAGGCCTTGAAAGACACTGGTATGTGGGATGATACACTGTTTGTATTCCTCAGTGACGTAAGTTCAAATTTGTAATAGTTTAAAGGGCGATGGTCGTCGTGCAGCGCATGTTTGAATTTCGTGTAAATAAATGTATTTTACACGCGCTGTGTACGCTCTATGCAGATCGGACCGTACGCGCCGAGACGACCACCGCCCTGTAAAGCGCGGTAGTCGTCGCGCTGCGCATGTGCGAGATACATGTGTCTCATATAAACAATGATGGCGACTTTTGACTGTTGCGCAGATCAACGAGTACGAACTGACACGTTTCCAAGCTGTAATTAGGTAATTTTCATGTGATTGGAAGGTATCAAAACAGTCATCGGCGGTAATCAGTGCAAGTCGCGCCCAGGTCAAACCTCACACTTGTGATTTCCACTTGAAGAGCGCATTGGATTGTGGGAAAATCAATGTCTATCAACACAAATGTCGAACATGCGCAGCGCGAAGACTACCGCGCTTTAACATTGCGCAGAGTGCAGAGTCTTTTAACAATGGTGACTGGTTTATGATTGTTGCGCATGATTTAGTACAAAATGCATCCTCGATAATATATATTATGTCGTTAATTACATTTTGTCGTTAATTATGAAATTCAATAAACTATTGATATATTATTTACTTACAAAGTGATAATGACGCGTAGTTTATCTTAGTTTAAAGCGAGGGGGTCGACATCTGCACATGTGTGGGAATTGTGCCCCAAGGGACGACGACACCGCACGCTAAAAACACAAAGGCTCATGGGTAGACGCTTATTTATAAACAGCCATACGCTTAATGAATGATTTTTTTGTTTAAACTATTTTTTTTCAGAATGGCGGCGATGACGTATTTGCTGGCTCGAACTATCCGTACAGAGGGAATAAAGGCTCGACGTTTGAGGGCGGTATGAAAGTGCCCGCATTCTTCCACGGCAGCATGTTGCAAGACCCGTCAACTGTGAATAACGAGTAAGCTTTCCGTTTACTCTCATTGCATCGCCATCGATTTGAATTAGAACGAATTCCATGCAGACTGGAGTTAGTCGGTGTATGGTTTGATCTAACCGATGACATCATGTATTCCTTATCGATTGCTGTTTAAAGCGCGGTGGTCGTCGCGCAGCGCGTGTTCAAATTTCATGTAAATAGACAATGTATTTTACACGCGTTGTATACGTCGCTATGAGTCCCATATCGAACAGGACGGCACGACGACTGCCGCCCTTTAACCCATTGTAGTATGTTATAGTTTTGTACTTATACGAGTCTACATGAAATGTATGACAACGTAAATACTACTATTATTCAGGTTATACCATTTCACCGATGTATTTGCAACTTTAGTGAGCGTTGCCGGAGGAGAGTTAGGTAGGTAATTATTCAAGCTAATATTTAGAGTAACATTCACAAGATCACACTAGACTTTTAAACTCTCCATCATTGTGCATCGCGACAAACAAACAAGGACTGTAAGTCAATATATTGAATAATTGCATCGATAACGCTATATGATATAAGGTTATTACGAGGTTACCGCAAAGTATGCACGAAGACAGTACAGCTGGAGTATCGACCGACGCGCAGCAGAGGTCGATGCGCGGCGTACCGTCTGATAATAACCTTATTATTATACATCTTTTCCTTCCAAGGATACACCATGGGAATACCGAAATTCAAAATGCTTAGAACAGAATCGGCGAGCTTCTTTGTATGGAGTCCGGTCAAATTTTGGTGGCAGCCATGCTTGTTTTTATCAATAGAGAACGCTTGCGCGCGTAATCATTCCATATTTGGAATTCGCCTTTCCTAATATGGTAGGATGAAAATACCCGGTAAAATACCGCAAAATTACGACACGCTGTAAATTATGGCGTCACGGTGACAGATGTATAATATGTAGTACTAGTAACAGATAATAGTAGTATTCTTCCTCAGTTATCGATATGTATGGAGACTATTCATAAATATTCATAGATAGAGATATCCTCGAGGCGGAGCTACGTCACAAGATGTTCCACGTTGCTAAGACGCGCACCACTGTACATGCATTTCTATGGACTGTGTGCGCGCTGTTGTGGAACGCCGGTCGAGCCGGTGAAAATTCGAGAAAACAACATAAACTCAACTTTGAAGTAATCCTGAAATTTAAAACAGAATTGATATATGTTAAACAAGTAGGGCTAATCTTGTTACACTGGAGTCCCAACAACCATCCCAAAGTACCGTTTTCTGCGAGTTTTTTGCCTTTGTTTTCACCGCGATGGTTGCCAGGCGGTGAAAATGCCCGGATGTCCGCCCCGAGGATACTAATATATTCAATTCACATAGACTTGTTCATTTCTATCATAAGAAAGAATAGTTCTTTCGAAACGTCAGGTTATATTGAATACTTACCAAATACTACAATTACATACTACAATTTTGTTTATAATATGTTCGTCTGTTCCAGCAGCTTTCACCATTATTTAACCGCAATAAAACCATGCTTGTAAATTGCGCCCTCTAGTGACAAAGCGCTCCAATGACGTAAATGGACGACACGAAGATCGTTTAGAGGGCGTACTTTACAGGAATGGTGTATTGTGAGATACACATGCAATTGTTTTGTTTAAGACGTAATATAAAACAAAAAGGTTAAGTCACACAATTGCCATATTTTTTTCACAACTTTTAGAGACGGACATTGATGGGGTGAATCAATGGGATAGCATCTGTCGAGGCGAACCTTCAAAACGTTCAGACATTCTTCTGCACTACGACACACACCCTGACACCACCGGCCTAGCTTATAGGTATGTATTGTTTGTCTTAGTCGAAAATTCGTATGCAGGATTGTTAAAGAAAGTTGTGTTTGTTTTTGTTTTTTGTCAGAAAAATATCGGTTATCAGATGATTGTTTCTGTTTAGGCTGTCGCGAATTCAAACCGAAATCATCGGACAAAATATCATCCGTTCAAGTTGTTGAATTGCTTATTGCTTAAAATGGGGATTGTGTTTTGCCCGTTTCTGTGATTCTGTTTTGTCGTACTGGTATGTTGGAAGCAATCAATTTGTTTACATTCTCAAGAAGCTAGTCGGGTTTCAACTTAGTATACTAGTAGTCCCTTAATTTTCAAAAGGCCGCCGAAGTCTCGTTGAGAGCGAGAGTGAGAGAGTCACATAACTTGTAGTTTATGTACACTGTAAACTGTTAAATTCTTCTTACCAGAATAGACCTTAGACAGAAATGGCCGCCGAGATCTCATTGAGAGTGTGAGAGTCACATAACTTGTAGTTTATGTACACCTGTAAACTGTTAAATTCTTGTTACAAGAATAGACTTTAGACAGAAATGGCCGCCGAGATCTTGTTGAGTGTGAGAGAGCCACGAGACTTGTTTTTGACCATCCATTCGCTAACGCCAACGTGCTCATTTGCGAATAAAGTCTATTGATATTACCATTCCTACAAAAAAAACTTCGCATATTTCGCATTTTGCAGTCATTACGTGACAACTCTTTTCAGGTGCATGTATTTGTTTAGAATAAAACGATTCTGTTTTATATGTAGCAATGTGTACAGAGACAATACGGTAATATGAAATACTGTAAAACACGTCTTCTTAGCTGGCATGTCATTTTAGCTAATTTAGCTTACCTGTAATTTCGCTAATTCAAGATGTCGCTAATTTAGAATAAAGTATATTCTCGCAATAAGATTGTTGGCATTTTAGCTAAATTAAGATTTTGTTAATTCATGTATTGAATCAAATTCACTAAAATGGCATGTAGCTATTCAATGTTTTTTACAATAGGTTTAGAACCCCGAAACAGCCCCTTCACAGAGATTTTGTTTTATTATATATATCTTTATTTTTGTTTTTATCGCCAAACATAACATAGCTCTCAATCTCTCAATCCTTTTCAGTTGTGTTCAGTCTGATTTGCAAACACAGTTTTCATTACCTGACGACCGTTTACTGTCAGTAGATATTCAGTCGTTATCTTCTGTAAACGGTCATTATATATTCACGCTTTTGAGAGTTGTACTTCTGATTTTCATCCATAAATATTTGAAAGTAATGTGATCTGTGACCCGACGTCACTGATAGGACGGTAACCAGTATATAGTGGGAAACTTGTCACGTGCGTTAAAGCGGGGGAGTCGTCACCAGCGCATGCGTCAGATGGCCATAGCGTATAATTGTTTACAAACAAGCGTCCACCCATGAGCCTTTGCGTTATTAGCGTGTGTTGTTATCGCCGCTCGGGACTCAATTCTCACGCGTGTGCAGGTGACGACCCCCGCTTTAATACTGCATAGATAAATTTATATATATATATATTTTTGCTTTTTTTGTTGAAGAATGGGAGACTACAAATACATTGAAGGCATCACAACCACATGGCCGTTCAGACGTTTTTCCAACGACCTATTTCATTTTGGTACGATGCTTTTTTTCATCACCATTATACCTTTCACTACATTGCTACATAGTTGACTTTTCTGCTTACAAAATAACAGATGTAACAAGCCTTTGTAATTTATCAACAGTTTTATTAATTAACTATAAATTGTTAAACTAATTCTATCTATATTTGTCAATAGATCAATGGTTTCGTCCTGCTGAAAACCCCAGTGCTCCAATACCTGATGCGCCATTTATTACTGAAGATGAAAATAACAGATTTCTGTTTAACTTAAAAGGTATTGCACCACATAATACATGAAGTTATGAATTAGAAACTTAAATAGAATAGATGGTTCTAATTGTTACAGATATTTGGCAGGTAGTAATATAGGTGCAACTTATACAACTTTTCCACACAGAAGATGACATGAGTATTCTAGAAGTTCTGATCGGTTATAATTTTTTGTTGAGCTGGGGTGATACATATTAGTATTCTATTTAAAACAAAATGCATTGTCTTTTGGCCAATTTATTTATTTGTAAGTAAGAAGCTGCATTTCATCTCCAAATAAACAAATTAAAATAAAGTACAAATAATTCCTTAATTTAGTATTCAGATATATGATTTACTTGTCATCGGCGGTGGCGTTCAGTCAAATTGATCACGTGCTAAGTGCCACGGAACAGTCTGCCTCGGGCGGATATTATCCTGCAATTTGCGCCATTGAACTACTCCCCTTTGGCCAGTCTAAACATTCCTCCCCTCTGGCAATTTGGTTGCTGATTCCCGCGGAAAATTCTGCATTTTGCCCTTTCCCGCTCAATCTAAAAATGGTACTTGCCTGCCCACTGAATAAAAATTTTCTCCTACTGGAATTCCCCTCCGAGAAACCCTATTTTTAATGCCCTCCCACTGGAGATGTTTTATTATGCCTGCCCGCTGAAAATCCTTTGCGAACACATATTTCACGAACAGCTCCGTTGACTGCACCTGCTACACGGCATGTATCTTCTCCAATGTTCGCGATCATTTCAAATTGTTGTTCAATAATTGTTTAATTCCACTTCATTGTAGATGATCCATTGGAAACCAATAATCTGTACTACGATCCGGATGAACAGAATGTTGTTATTGAAATTGAGCAGCGTCTCGAGGAATACAGAGCTAGTATCTCTCCGATTTGGTATCCAGGCGCGCTGGACCCGAGAAGTGACCCGGCTAAATTCGGTGGTTTTTGGACACCAGGGTGGTGTTAAAATTTAACTTAAATTGATTAAACTAATCACCATCAGTTCTGTCTTTTCATCACAATATAGTCCCGTTTATAGTCTGCACTCTTTTTCAGATTTGAACAAAATAGGCAATTTTTTCAGTGAAAGACTGAAAATTGACTCAAATTTCGTCTGTTTACTAGAAAATTATGGCCCATTGCCAGAAATATTGAAGAATATAAAACAAATCACTGCAGAATAATTTGGGCGGGAAAGTCTGGCGGTGAAAAGGTTATGGATTTGTTAAGACATACAATTGTATTTAATTCAGAACATAGAGGGGAATAAAACATTGGATCTGCAAATCACCATCTTGTGTGACATTCATTCAACTCTACGCAATTTTCTTTTTATATTAATTCGAATTTAAGTCGCGTTTGCGTGGCTTTAGGTTTAGAATATTCAACTTTGAATTAATTAAAATTTAAACTAAAATGCAATTATATGTTGAATTCCAATTAAGGTAGAGATGCAGATTCGTGGGCACTTGGGAGTGATTTTTTTTTTTTTTTTTTTTTTTGCTTTCCATTATCCAAACAGTCTTGGCTATAGACTGTTAAAATTTTGTAAGAATTGTGAATAGTGGAACATACTCAAAAGACGATTTTAAAATATAGATAACAGGTGCAAACATTCTCTCTTTTGCATGCTTAGCAAGATTTAGCAAGGCTGTACATAAATAATAAAAAAGACACATGTTGAGAAAAAGTAATGACGGGATCTCCATAAAATGCACTATATATAACTTTTTACAAAACGATAATACATTTACATTTGGAACTATACCTGTCAGGTAAACTGCATCTCTACCTTAAAACGCAACCCTATACAGGAACGCGTTGGAAGCAAGAGCTCGAAAAACGACATGCACAAATTAAATGTCGGTTAAAAAAATCGACAACACGTCGATAACAATTCAAATCAACTAGTTCGCTCTTATCGTCAAATTATGTAAATGACATTTATATAGGAAAAATATTTACAAGGCAATATTCTAAAAAATCTAATTAACAAACAAGAAAAACTAAAACTTGACAATCCCATAACGTATGAATGTATCCTTTGAATACACCAACGTCGTTCGGAAACTTAAAAACAATAAATCTCCTGGTAGCGATAGATTGCCTACCGAATTTTACAATGTTTTTTTTTTTTTTTTTTTTTTTTTTTTGCGAAAACGTCGGCACTCTAGTTTGTGAAACGATTATCATTGACACAAATAAAGGTATACTGTATACTTCCGCAATGGAGTGCATTGTTGCGTTTGATACGTGAAATGGATAAACAAAATATTTTCGAGAAATGGCGTAGGTTATAAAATTATCGATTTTGTATTGGCTACGAGACTTCAGCCAATGAAGAGTAATAGAATAATAAACAGAGGGGCTTTCAAGTTGTATTGGGCCACGTAACAACGACCCGATGATTTTGCTGGTTTAAGACGGCCAAAGATGCCAATCCTCGGGGGCGGAGCTACGTCACAGAACGTTCCACGTTGCTACGACGCGCACCACTGTACATGCATTTCTATGGGCTCTGTGCGCGCTGCTGTGGAACGCCGGTCGAGCCGGTGAAAATTCGAGAAAACAACACAAACTCAACTTTGAAGTAATCCCGAACAACCAAATTTATATATGTTACACACGTAGGGCTAATCTTGTTACACTGTTCAGAGGAGTCTCAACAGTCATCCCAAAGTACCGTTTTCTGCGAGTTTTGGGCCTTTGTTTTCACCGCCGCGGGTTGCCAGGCGGTGAAAATGCCCGGATGTCCGCCCCCGAAGATAAAATCTCTAGGTGCCTTCTTATGTTATGACATCCTGTCCATGAAAGTATTTCTCTCGCTTCAAACAAAAAATAAATGCCATATTTTAGCTCTATGGTCACGCAGAAATATCACATTATATGGTGAAATTGCAGTGATTTAGTCACGGGCGTCTGCGAAAACAGCCTACCTTCTCAATGTTTGCATCGTGCAAGATGTTGCACAATCGCCAATGCCCAAATGGCTGATGTCCGAACAGTTGAAATGTACAAGTGTAAACGAGATCGAGAAACTGAAGTTTGCGTACAGTAGAGGGCGGTTGTCATCATGCTGCCAATGGATAAACGGATAATATATGTTACACATGTTGGGTACGTCACAAGGACCCATATCAAAGACGGTGGGTGCGGAGCGATGAATACGTCGTTTAATATTTTAATGAAGAATAAAGGTCAAAAAAGTCTAGCACAGAACATTTTGCTCTTCTGACAGAGATATGAGAATATTAAGATAGATTTTAGAAATGGCAACCCCGACCCTCCTGCTATAACATTGTTATAGTGGATATGTATATGATGTGCCCGTCCTAATTTCAGATTCACCTCGGCTACCACAAACATGAGTATATTTAGTTTGACAACAACCTCAAGTGGTTTCATGTTACCAAAACATCTCCATTATCGATCTTTGTGAAGTTGGGATACTTGATTACCCATAGCCGAGTTGATTGGCATTCTGTAGTTAAATAAGTAAATATTCTCACTCACGTTTCGCCCCATTTAGTCTAACTACTCACACCTAAAAATAGACCACTTGTATATGAAAATTTAACGGACGAATTCTGTAATAACAAACTGTGATATCGACATATGACACACTACGCATGCGCGAAAAAAATGCGAGTCTGAGAACAAATAACCTCCTCGCGCGTCAAATAATAAAATGGCATCCTATCCCATGATTCAATGTGGTGATGCGGAACACCTGCAATGTCGAAAGATCTGACACGTACATTCACGTGACTGTAAGTCTTGTTTACATGCTTTCTAGTGTTAATGCCCTTCAAGTTCGATAAAGATCTGAACGTATTCTGAGTAGGAACTTGACACATATATTAGGGTCACGTTGCGGGCCTTTAAAATACAAAAATATAAAAACATTGATCGTTAACACCGAATTACTTAGAGAAACGTTTGCGCTTGTGTGAATTCTGTTCTGTTCAATGACTACCCTTCTCCATTGTGGTCGGTTCTTACCGACAAGGTAGATGGCCTAGTCTCATAGTTGTATCTAGCTCGTTATCACCAGTACTCTCGGCCCAAGGCTTACTTTGGTTTTGTCCATGTTTTGCGCTTAGCCTAAATGTTTTGCTTGATGTTGGACTCGCATGACGCATGCGCAGTTCTCTCACATGTGCAGCGCGCGTTCAATTTCTCTGCAACAAACAACGTATTTTACACGCGATGTACACGTCGCATGGGACCCACATCGAACACGAATCGGCCCGAAGATTGTGATGATTTCATATTTATATATATTACGGTTCGTGATATATTTACTCAACTGCAATAGCCCAGTTCACCACACACGCGATTCCATGAAGGCATGCGTGCTGCTGTTTCACCGTCCCGTTCATTATGGCTAGCGCAATCTGCTGTGTGCATTTTGTATCACGCGATCGTTTACATTGCTTTCTGTATTTCCCGCTATTTGTCTCGTCAAGCCTGAGCTTAATCCTAAGTATTAATCATAACACCTCTAGCAACGAAATAAAATTAACAAAATGACGGTTTCCGTTCGATGACGTACATGGGGTAAATATTGGATTCCATGACGCCCCGAGACACAAAGATCGCATTACACTAAAATCAACGAAATAATCTATAATATCAACGAAAATGGGTCTTTAAAATGATGTGCATTGTTCTATTTTGACTCTCTAATTTCAGATGTATGTACTCGCTATAGTTTGCCGAGATTTAATTGACCATAACCACAGATCAAGTTTAAGAGCATATAGATCAACAACTGAATTGAAGTCATCTTCAAGTATGTTTGCGATTTGTGGACGAATGGGTTGTTCCGCTGACAGATTGTAATGTATTAGTAAACATGTCAGTGTGTCACTTGAATAGCCATTTACGCCGGGCTTCCGGTGCAAGTGGTATGTTCGACGACATTCGGATTTATGAACACCAAGTTACAACCACGCCCACTTTTGCGAAACCACCCCTAAATTGTAACTCGATGTTCAATTAACAGTTAACAGAACTTCGCTAATATACGTCATGTTGACGTCACGGAAGCCAAAATATTGGTGCAACAGAACTTCGAGTTACGGGCAAAATGCATTTTTGTTTAACTTCTACATTTAGTGACTCTAACTTTAAATATGGGAAACATAGAACGTTGAACGAGACAAACAAATCTATGTTCCCCGTAATTTAAAGTTCGAGTTACTAAATGTGCACGTTCAACAAAAACAAAAATGTACCTTTCCCGCAACTCGAAGTTCTCTGGCATCAACATTTTGGCTTCTGTGACGTCAACATGGAGCGTATTAACGAGGGCGATGTCGCTCCAATCGACAACTATGTTTTTTGTGTGTGTGTTTTTTTTAATTTTTTTATTTCTTTTTTAAACACTTACATTAACAATTATTGACAAAACAAACAAAATTGATGGTACAGTCTACAAC